TGTACATCAGAAAATGCGCCTTGAGGCATGGAACATATGTACCAAATATGCCAAAGATGTCTACAAAATTATCTCAGTTATTATTAAAAAACTGATTATTTTTGAAAATTTTGCCACCCTGTATCTCAAAACATAATGCGTTTAGGACATACGTCCATAGGAAGTTTTTTTCTCAAAATGGGTCTAAGAATTATCTCCTCAAATATTAGCATGTGTTTAAGGAACACCCTGTACATGTGTTTCAATAAGCAGAAAAAGAAATGATAGCAATAATAACATCCGAAACGAACACTATATATTTTTTTTTCAATTATTATTCTGGCATCGACTGGAACACTATAATTGTAATGAAAATTGAAATGAAGTAATTTATATACACAAAAAAATAATTGCGCCATAAATGTTCGAATTCGAAACATTTTTGAACTCGGTTTTCCAAATTATTTATTGCCCTCAATACACTTATTTGCTGCATTGTTGCGAAATCATTCAAAATCCTCAATCTCGAGTCTTTCACATTTTCTATCTCTCTGCGAGCTCAAATCCTATTTTTCAATGTCTTCCATAAAAAATAGTCCAAAATAGTGAGATCTGGTGATCGTGGTGGTCCATTATTTGTCTCGAAATGGAAGTACTCAAATTCGAACATTCATTGCGTCATTGATTTTTTGTGTATATAAATTACTTCAATTCAATCATAGTGTTCGTTTCGGATGTTATTGCTATCATTTCTTTTTCTGCTTATTGAAACACATGTAAGTAGATATGTTTCAGATAATTATAAAAGGTTTTCTTATTCGAAGTTCATTGTAGAAAACGCTCAGAGCAATGGAAAAAATATGAATAGGTACCTAAAATGAAAAAAAAACTCTACGGAACATAGAGAGACGTGAAAGTTGCTATTGTGTTTTTATTCAACTCAATTAACCAATTTTCAGGGCCGTAATTTAAAGGGGAGTAGTTCACACAATTATATTCAAATACTACCGAAACATCCCGAAATATAAAATGAAATTTAATTTCTCAGTATGAGGTGAACGTCTACGAAACAAAAAATACAAGTCTTTATTTAAAAATTGAGAGTGGCCCAAGTCAGATGACACCCTGTATAAAAGATTCATGGACATATTCTGATAGCCCACATCAAGTACCAAGTACGAATAAAGAAGATATAGGCAAACAAATAATTTGGGATTTTTTTGTTTTTCCAATATATCTCCAGAACCAAAAGAGCTATATTCGATTTTTTTACATTATTGAATAGGTCTTTATAATACGCAACGTTGCCACAATTTAACCGACACTCTATCTCTTATCGTTTACGAGATCCCCATGTTCAGAAACGAATTTGAATAGCCCTGTATATACCAAAACCTTGGACCTCATTGATCTGTAATCTGATGGTTCACTTCACTCCGTAACTAATAAATAATAAGAGTTTATATTACACAATAACTTCTCCGGAAAGCTTCAGTTTTTCTCCTAATATACCTGTGCATTTTATCAACAATCTGGATTGCAGAAACATGGACATCCACAAAAAACAGTATTTAAAAAAATATTACAATAAAGAGAAATGATAGTGAAGAATGCTTTTGATTATTCAAATATAAAACTGTTGATCAACCTTGTGTTAAGTGATTGTTTGTGACAGGATCCAAATGATTAATTAAAAAAACGTTAAGAAACGTCATTTTTCAGATCCTTTTTGATAGGCAAAATATAAAATAACGATACATTAGTGATAGATAGCTCATTTTCCATTGTAAAAAATTATATTAAATTTACGCAGTAACATGTTTCAGTGAACTAGAAGTCTGCCTATTTGAATATATTCAAAGTTAACCTTTACAATTTTAATTTTTTCGGATTGTGGAAGGTGAAAATTCTCAGGGAGATCCATAGAAAATCATTTCTCGTAAAATATTTTCGAAAGAAAAATATATCTGCTCCATTGTGTGTGAAGTTTATTTCACATTATCAGTCGTCATTATGATATGTTAATTTATATATCAAGTTGAAAAATATCTTAAACAATGCCTTCACAAAAAATATTTTATATTTGCCTCATGTGTGAACTATATTTCGCGTTTTAGTTATCTTGAAACCCAAATAATGCATCATGACCATATCGTTACCATTCGGCATGGAGTGACATATACAGGGTGTTCCCTAATTGCGGCGAAAAATGTAATTTTATAAAAAAAATGTTTATATGAATACCTACAGTTGTTGCTTTTTGACTGCTCAGTACATTACTTGTTTTTATTTTCTTTCATTTTTTTAACAAAGTGAGGTACTAAAATAAATCAAGGGATGAAAAAGTTTCATTTTTAGATCTCTCATCTAACACGAAATTGAATGTTTCAAGAAACGTCAATGGCGTACATTTTTTGTTCAATGATGTTTGCTAAACTGTGTTTTATGCGTCATTGGACTCAATAATGTGTATCTAATTAAGGCTAAATGAACCTCTTATTACTAAAAATTGCAAAATTTCACCAAAATCGGATAAGGGATATTCAGAATATGAATACAAAAAAAATATCTTTCAGAAAAGTTTACACCCAGTATTTTGTAAATAATTCAATTACAAACCTATGTGTATATGACTGGTTCTCACAAAATTAACTCCTAAAGAGACCCTGACATTTTTTCAATGTAATTAGGAAACACTTTGTATGTAGTTGTGGGTGTACATTGAAAACGTATGTACGTAATATTCACATCTATAATATAATTTTCACCTGGAAATAACCGAAAGCTCCAGCTCCTTTTGCATGAACCACCCTTTCTGGAATCCGTTCTCTGTTGAAGTGCCCAAGCTGTTGTGTCAAGTTGTAATCGCTTAGAACAATCGGTCCAAGTTTTCCCACGGTGAGACTAGAGTCCTTTTGAACCAACTGAATTCCGGAGCTGTTAGTTACATACTTCCTTTCATTCTGAAAAGAAAAACTTGTTTAGACATCTTCACTCTCCTTTATTCTATATTCTATTCTATTTTGTGGATATTCGTTTGCCAAATAATTTGTTAATCGTTTGTTTTTATTCGTTACCCGTTTTCCTCAATATAAGATGAATACAAATTATTTGAACTTATTAATTCTCCATAGTTTAAATTGAAAAGGGTATTTTCAGGAGAGATTCATGAAGTGTTGAAGAAAAAATTAACTTCATATAACTCAGTTTCTCCAAAAATTTTATTCACTCCCTAAAATTCATATACCTAGTTATCTGGTAGGTCGCTAGTAGCACCCACCTAAGCATATGCTTTCAATAATGAATATTACAATCAATATTCCTTTGAGGTAAACAGTACCTTCAATGGTATGACACTTCCAGATAATTTTTTATTAGCCAGTCTAGATGTTGTTTCCCTTTTTAGTAATGTGTATTCTGATATCATTTCATGTTTGGTTTTTGAAATTCGGTTACGGCGTTGTTGAGTTATTGCTTAAAATGTAAAATCTTGAGAACGACTATTATTTATAAAAATATCTCATACAATTATTCTCTCTGCATCAGATCACATGAAAATTAGTCAAAATTTTGGGTGTTCGAAATAATGGTTTCAATTTTGAGTTGTGGAATTCAGTCAGGAATCATTTACTTGATAAATTCAATTTTGTATACTATGTTAACAGTTACCTTATTTTCCTCATACCAATTTTGAAGTTGGTTGGAAGCAGGATCTCTTGAAGACATTTTCCAACTTTGTTATTCGTAGAACAATGTAATACTGTCACTATAAACATCAAATATATTTATGATTGATTACTACTGACTGCCTGTAAACAACTATTATTGTTTTCAAAATATAAACATAGGCGTCCAAGGTAATTGAATACAGGGTCTAGAAAATAATTACTGGAGAAGTTGATCACTGATAACTTTTCATGTATCAAAGCATTCATTGCATATTTGTTGGATATAATCCAACGCCCTTCGTGTTATTAGCCAGGGGGGTAGTTGTTTTCTGATAGGCGTCGGTCCATTTAACCTACTGTGTAGGGAATTGAGACTGGACTAAACGAATTGTTCTTTTAGATGATTTGAAAACATTGATAATTGTAGAGAACAATTCCATTAGGTTAAATCCATATATTCCAACTAGGTAACTGTTGTAGACAACACACAGGGACTGCTTGGAATGTCAGAAACTAAGTTGATCATCAAAAAGGTTCAATAACTAGGCTCACACTAGTTTTCCTCGAAACAGCTGAATTACAGTAGCCTAGTTGTACCCCACGATCAAATAAAATGGAAAACATTTGAAATCTTCTCAAGAATACAGTAAGGGAGAAAAAGGAAATGGCGGTTACTTATCAAAAACATAAAATAAATACCTATTTTCAACTTGATGCAATTAGTGGAACAGGTTTTATAATACGGCAGTTCTGATAAATTTATAGTTTCTGTTGTGTGTAATTTAGCATGAAACAGAAAGATAGTAATACGGCATGATTATATGGCTTCACGGTGGAATATACGGCATTTCATCGTTTGAATAACATTTCAAATAGCAAGCAAAATTGAATCTATTCCGTGTTAGGAATCACACGTTGAAAAGTAAGACCTCGTTAGTCCTTAGCTCGCACAAGTTTCGACTTCTGAGGGTTATCGTTCGTAGGGGTGCGACAGCTGGTTAACGAAAAAACTCAACAACGTAACATATTACTTTTCTCAAACACATAATACAATTTGAAAATCTATAAAGTCCATTCTATATGAGCATCAAACTTTTCAATTCTCTTCCCATCGAAATGAATATCAGGAATAAATTTTATCCCCCATGTACTACCTAGTTGGTCACTTATATTGTTTACAAGATTTCGTGTATACAGTGAGGTACCTTTAACTGGAATAAATTCAGTAGAATTGTAGCAGAATGTTTCTTGCAAAATTCCTAAGACAGGTCGATTTTATTTTCAACAGAAATACATTTCTACATTCTAATGAACCAAATTACATGCATCCCTTACATAGGGTAGCCTAAATTTTTTTAAATAGCAATAAGAGTTGATTTGTATTAAATTTTAAAGGCATATTATTCCTCTAAACAGCAGTGCTCNAATTCAGTTTTTTATTTCTTTGAAAAACAGTCAAGTTTTTGTACATTCCGCAGATTTTCAACTTGCCAGCATGTACATGGTGAACACTTTGAGCATCTATTAAATTAAATCTTATTTGTACCATTTTTTTTAACCGTTACCCTTATGTTTATTGTAAAACTAGATAGTTCACTATAATCTCCTTGATCAAATTTCAAAAATCGATTACTGTTGTTAAGGGAAATAAATTGTTTCTAAAGCACATTACAACCCAACCTTTATTGCTATTCAATAATTTTCTAGGGGTAGCTACCCTGCTTAGGAGTGTACGTAATTTGATTTATTACATTGTTAAAATGTTTCTCCCTTGAAGGCAAAATCGACCTGTTCAAACATTTTCTTCAAAGCTGCGCATTTTTCATAAGACATGAGGATAATTTGAAAAATGGTATTTTTTTATGCAAATTATTAAATTGATAGTATCTCGGAAACTAATCGACGAAATTTTAAAAATCGAGCACTGCTCTTTAGAGGAATAATATGTCTTTAAAATTTAATACAAATCAACCCTTATTGCTATTTAAAAAAATTTAGGGGGTAGCTACCCTATGTAAGGGATGCATGTAATTTGGTTCATTAGAATGTAGAAATGTACTGAATTTATTCCAGTTGAAGGTACCACACTGTATGTGATTTTTCACCTTTCTTTCATATGAATTTTCCAATATCACGTATCATCTCAATATTGAATATCTTCACAATTTTCTACAAAAATCATCAATCATTTTCAGATGAATCTTAGTAAATTGATCTCAAATATATTATCAGTAGCTTTGGTAGAACATACAAAAAACCTTGGTGTGGAGATATACTATTGAAGATTTGAAAAACACATGAATGAAGTTCTTCAATCTTATCTATCACTGAAAGCATTATAATGAGACAGGCATTTTTTAACCTAGTCTTTCTCAAAGTGGGCGGCAACGCCCCATTGTGGGCGCTGGAGGACTATAGGTGGGCAGTAAAGGGCACAGAGGAGATTGGGGGTCGTTGAAGCGGTTCAGGGGGGCGATGGCTGATTTAAAAATGTTTTTTGCTTTTAACACAAACTTTACCGCTCCTTTACGCTTAACGCGCGTTTCCTCCTGTAACGCCATCTAGGTGACTAGACAGTAACTATTTCCTGTCCGATAGTTGTCAAACTGTACTATAGATGGTGGGAAGCTTCAATGCGAAGCGAGAAGTTTCTAGTCTCCATTCTCGAAAGTACTAGGCCCCTCCGTTGCCTCTTATAAAAGCGCGCGCGCCATCGCGTCATCCAGCCAGTAAAAGGCCAATCTTGGACTACAAGGCCATGATCTACTGTACCCTTTCGCCGAGAAAATCCCACCACATCCTTACCACTGAGAGAAGAATCCTCCGTAACATATATAACCTCCCATGGCATTACCCTTCACAAAACTTATATAACCAAACTATTATTTCCCCCATAAACGTCAGATTTCAGGATCTCCAGGGACGATACGCCACTAGAAAGATGATCAGCAACAACACCGCTGCAATCGAGACACTAACAACATCATGGACTACCCGAGGAGGATCCAGATGGATACCAAGGAATAAGCTCCCGTTTCCCCCAGCCAGAATCCTGGGAGCGATGGGAGACAAGACGGAGCAAATCCAAGATATCCTGGAGGATTACCCACTGGCCTTCAGATATTGGACAAAAGCGACCCGTAGGAACCTGAAACCAGCGGAAACCACCACCAACAACCTACCAACACCAGCAAAGGACAAGGACAACCCAATACACAACTTCACTCCGAAACAAGACCACAGCAACGATACGGACATCCGAATTAGAATTAGCATTTAGTTAAGATAGTTAAGATAAGTAATCAATAGTCAATAAGTTATCAGCTATAATATCCCAAGGACATTGATAACTAACGAAATAATTTTATCACAGTTTTCGAAAGCACGTTATTTGGTAACATCCCGACGCCGAAGGCGATCAAACAACTTTATTGTGTTGGTTGCTTAGCAATGTCATGACATAAGTGATAACTACCCGTGAAAATTATCCATGGGTAGTTATCAGTGTAATGATGGTTTCATTGGTTATTTCGACACACATGACTAGAAATAGACAAATTTCATAGGATGAATTTTTTGGCAAAAAATTTTCAGTGTAATGATGGTTTCATTGGTTATTTCGACACACATGACTAGAAATAGACAAATTTGACAGGATAATTTTTTTGGCAAAACATTTTCAATAAAATGTAACCAAAACCATCAATTAACACTGCCCTGAAGAGGCATAAGCCTATAGCAGGGCACCATAGATTGTAACTTATAAACAAAATGTAAACCAAAACAAAAAAAAATAATAAACGTTAATTCATTCATTCATTCCAGCCAGTAATGTCATTCGACGATATTACGAAAACAAGTGAATTTAGTTAGAGAGACTAGCTAGGTAAAGTGCTGTACGTGCGGTGATGAATACTGTCAGTGGTGTCATTAACAAGTTTTCAATAGTGGATTCCTTAATTTTTCAAGACTAAATTATGTCGGAAGCAAATAAAAGAAAACGGCAGTATAGCGCGGAATGTATAAAATATGGATTTATTGAAAATCCTCAAGGCTACAGGATCATTTGAATAAAATGCATTCAGATAAAAATAGACAAAAGTGTGACTTATTTTCAAGAACGGGATATAAAACACTCAGCTCAGCCAACTGTGTCAAAACTTTTTTCAGTGGCTTCTAAGCAAGACGACGATGGACTCCGAGCTTCCTAAAATATCTCCTTGCTAATTGCTCAAACAGGTAAACCTCTCATACTATTGGAGAGGATTTAATTTTACCCGCAATAAAATAAGTAATAACTACTGTACTCCATAAACCAGCGGCAAATATCCGAAAAATTCCTTTGAGTAATAGTTCCGTGCAAAGACGAATAGATGAGATGGCTGAAAACATTGAAGAGTCATTGTGCAGTCATCTGAAGACTTTTAAATTCTCAATTCAGTTAGACGAGTCCACTTTACCAACCAATGAAGCATTGTTGTTGTCATAACGTGAGGTTTATTAAAAATGAGAAAATATATCAAGAACTATTATTTGCCAGAAATTTAGAGACGAATACAAAAGGAGAAACCATATACAGGACTTTTCATGATGAGCGTTAATTAGCCGTTTCTGGCAAACTATTCAACAGATCAACATGAAAATTTTAGACGAAGCGGCGTTGTCGCTTCTACTATAAAGTAGCGGCTTCTTTGATTTTTCAAATGGAACACCCCGTATATAATATCATATTATGATTCATAATCACTTTGTCAACAAATTCATATAGTATTTCCCTATACCTATCTATTACCGTTTAGAAGATATAAATTAATTTTGATATTTTTTTTTACCAAACATGAACTTTTATGAATGCTGATAATCTTGAACTCTCTTGCACTGAAACGATCAAATTTAAAATGGAGTGGAGTGATACTATGAAGATCTTCACTACGAGTCATATTTTCATTTGACTCATACAGGGTCTTCAAAAAATGCAGATACTTTGATCTCATAAAAAAATGAATGGAAATAAATTTTTTGAAATGGAACACCCTGTATATTTCAACATTTTTGAGCTCTACATCCAATTTTAAATTAGCTTTGTTCAGATAATACTATATTTTGA